AGAGGTTGAAGAGCACAGACTTGAGAAGAAAAAAAGGAGTAAATCTATTATCTCAGCTACTTCATTCTCCACATCAGCAGGCCAGAAATAAAGGTGACCTTTAGGCAAACCACGCATTCACAGTGTAGTCCATACACAAACTATTAGGGACGGCACTTAGAGCTCCCAACACCCCATCCATCTCCACGAGTGGACTTCAGCAAATGATAGCACAAGAGCATGATGGTAAATGGACTGTACTTACAGTATGTAGCACCTTTCTATCTTATCAAGATACTCAAAGTCCTTTACAACACAATCTGTGCCCTCATTTACCCATTCATACAGCACCCTACTATATCTATACAAAGCTAATTGAAGAAATCATTCTACAGACTAATCAGTGCTTTATCACATTCATACACCAATGGGACACACATTGGAGGCAATTAGGGGTTCAGTGTCTTGCCCAGGGACACTTGGGCATGTGACTGCTGGTGGATTCAAACACCAAACTCTTGCATTGGAGGATGACTGCTCTAACCACTCAGCCACAGCCGCCCATGATGTATGTGTGGGAACATGTATATATGTGTCTATATGTTTAAGAGCCACCTTTTAATGGAAAAAAAACAGTGTCTGTACCTTCACCAGAACATAGTGACTTGTGTGTTCCAAGAATAGATGAAATAATAGTTAGGCCGTGTAATCATGGTGCCTTGTGAATCACAGACTACATGGTGTACAATCAGTGGACTCGTGAACTCGCATGCCGTCAGATCCAGCTTGAAATCATCAGAGAGAACTTACAGTTCATGCTATGTGCCATTTACGTCTTGAAGCAGCTCTAAGAACTGAGCAGGTGCTGAATAAATCTGTGTGTGTACTGGACATCAGTGCACTGCCCAATACAGGATATACGTGTCTGTGTTCACAGGTTCTTTAAAGGGGCAAACTCTGCCATAAGCTGTCATTACTGGTCTTTCACACTGAACATACACACATTGCAGTCTCTTTTCTTAATTTAATACTTGATTTGAAATGGGGAAGGAAAAAAACATTGCATAATCTTACATTACTTGGATTTTTATTTTTCCCATTAACAGTATACGTTAGTGTATACATCTAAGGTAGTTTTACATCTGTTCTTGTATAATAATTTTTAAAATGATTGGGTTGGACACACTTGAGCAACGACATTACAAGTAGCTATGATGGTATTTCAAACTGTTCATCATGACTAGTACAAGTGCAACTATAGGCTCCAAGTCACCTTAGATCAGCTGGAAAAAGATTAAATGCTCCCTCTGGGTTCAAGTATCTCCAAGTCTCGACAGTGAGTGATGGTAGGTTGGAGTGGGAGATGGATCGATGAATCAGGTTCTTGTCTGCAGTATTGAGGGCACTGCTTCGCTCTGTCTTGGTGGAGCAGGAGTTGAGTTAAAAGGCCAAGCTCTTGATTAAAACTCCCTCCAAAACTCACTGGAGGAATTATATGTCTTCCTTCTGACCTTTAAACGTGTTGGGTTTCCCCAGAATAAACTGGAGAGTGTCACTGGGAAAAGGGATGTCTGGGTTTCCTTCCTTGACCCACGGCCTCCAACACCCGAACACGGATAAGCATAAGAAAATGAAATGACAGCAATATTCACTTAAATATCAAGTCTTTGAGGAGAAGATAAGAAGAGGATCTCCAGTTTATGTAAAATAAATGTGTTGTGATGGATGAAAGGATTTACAGGAAAGTCTCTTTAATGTATGCAACCAGTGGTACACCCACGTCACTTGTCACCAGAGGTGGCTGTGGAGCAGTGGTAGGGAAACCGATCTGTGAGAAGCGGCAGTTCTATTCCCTGCCAAGCCCACATGTCGTGGTGTCCTTGGGTAAGACGCCTAATCCGTAACTGCTCCCCGTGGGCTTAAATAGCTGCACACTGCTCCACCTGGGTGGGTTAAATGCAGAGCACATATACTCCATCATTGCATGGGAACACTGATGACAATATATAGCACATTTACTTTAGCTTTACAACTGTTAAAGTTTTAAGTTTTTGAAATGAGTGTTTTTCTGGACTGGGATTAAACAGGAAAGCAAGTAAACCTTAATGTTTTGGTGCGATATTCAAATGGGCAGCAGTAAAACTGTGAATAAGAAGAGAGGTGTTTGGGTTCGGTTTGTTGATGCTAGTCTGAGGCGGCGCAGAGTGACGGATCCTGGCGAGAAGAGGTAGATATTTTATCCATGACCAGGTGCAATGGCAGAGCCAGGGGGTGGCCAGTGGTGGCCACAGGGCTGGATTAGTAACCCCAAGTTGCTTGTATTTTCATTTCTACATTAGAGGCACCAGGAATAAGGTATAATATGTGAATTTTATCGGGATTTGTGTTTTATTTGAAAACTGGAAATTCACTCTGCCCCATCATGACCATCATTGTGAGCTGCTTCACCATCCTCTCTCACAATGCTGTATCGCACGGACGAGGGGAGGAGTGCTCGGTGTTTGTTGTTGGGGAAAAAAAAATCTGCCGGCAGAGGGCCCCTCTGTGCCAAGGGCCCCTGGGCACGTACTCAGATTGCCCATATGGTAGATCCGGCCTTGGGTGGCCACCACAGAGTGTGTGACTCTAGAGCTACACAGACCTTCTCCTTGGCAGTGATCGTAGAAACATTCTTCGCACGATGCAGCCCGCCCTATTTGCAGAAAAGTTGTTTTCAAAATGGCGGCATAAACAAGTCTGCAAATTGTGAAATATAAGCAAATTGTTTATAGGAAAGATCTTATTACAAAGCTTCTTTGCCATCCCAATTAACTTGAACTCACCCATGCACTGATTTAATAATCTTAACCTCCCAAACTCCTGGACTTCTATTGTGCAATACTACTGACACTTCATACTCAATTACCTTACGTCTTAATTCCCTCACTAATATCTATAATGTGCACTATTCAATTTATATAATTGTGAAATAACTTTTGTTATTTACTTTCATAGTGCTATATCTATATTGCGTTATATTTTTATATATATATTTTTAGGTATGTTTTTAAGCATGTTTGCAAGGAGTGTTTCTCAATCTCATTGTACTTGTGAATAATGACAATAAAAGCATTCCATTTTTAAAGAGATGCAGGCCTAAAAGGCAGAACTTGATGCAAACTTACAAATGACGTTTACAGTAAAAAAAAAAAAAGCATTCATTAAAAGGACAGGAAAAGGACATTCATTCAGTAAAAGATAAATGAAATGTCAAGATACATGTAAGAATGACAGTGTTTTGTCTTGTTCTTTCATTCAAACCTCTACTGTATGGAGGTTTAATAATGTATAAATCGTTTTAGGTAACTCATCAACATTTGTAACCATTTTCACAGGCTCATTAGCTCTGAGGGGTACTCTGAACTCAGTGTAATAAATTGCTGACACATTTCTTTAATTCCTTTACCTTTATGCAGATAAGAGTGGGATGAATTGGTGAGAAATATGCTGCAAGTAAACACAATGCAAATGATGTTTGTCTTGCTAGCAGGGAACTTCTACAGTGAAAGGTTCTTGTAAAATCATCACATTATCATTTTGGCGTGTAGTTTTCCTCAAGTTAGGTATGCTTTATTTTTCTTTTACATTCCTTCCTCTTGGGGGTTTTTTTACATTTCAAGAAGAACTTTGCACAGATCTCTGGAGAATCCTTCTTTTGGAACGGATGAGCATCCAAATGAAAGGAGTAAAAGCAACCAAGCTGGCAACAGGAGAGGAAAGAGGTGAGGAAAATTTTCTTTAGCTTTGTAAAATCTGTTTTAGGTGTTCTACAATAGACGTGATCCAAGCAGGCATAGACAACGGTGTCTCTGTCAGGATGGATTTCACCGCGAGTGATGCGAGTGTGGAAAGATACATCCTGCTCCTTACCTCAGAAACACTTAAATGGGATGTTAAGGTTTCAGAGAGGGTTTGTTTTAACTAAAAACTTCAGGTTTACTGAGATCTTCAGCTTTCCACCGTGACCTCTCCAACAGCCATTTTTCAGCTCTCCGCCTTTCTTTCTCCCTCTCTCTGACCTTGTGACCTGCTCCAACCAAGAGCTCAGCCCAGACACTTCTGCAGATCAGAGCACCTTTTCTCCCCCAACTTTCTTGTACATAAACAGAAAATATATATTTTTTAAATCAAACATCCTCCATATAAGCGTCTGAAGGTTTAAGCTCTGATTAACTCCAGGACACCAACAAGCACACCAACCACACAGCAGATCACACAGACGGCAAGTTCATTATGTCTCTGAAATTCTTTTTTTTTTCATCCACGTCACAAATATGATTTAAATTGAGAACATTCACATGATCATATTTTTACAAATATTTTCACAAGACAAAAAAAATCCTTCAAGAAGCGCAAAAGATTTACACTGTACAGTAGATACAGTAATGATGTCTCTACACTGGATCAACACTGCCCCCTGCTGGATCATTTTATACAACAAAAATATAGAAAAAAATATTTCAAATAAACAAATCACTGCATCTGCAAAGGAAATTATCAGGAAAACAAAGAGCCAACTTTTTTTAAATTTTTTTTCTACAAGCAAATTTAAAAAAAATACCTCAAAGTTATTTTTCATCAAATTAAACCATTTTATTTTGTGCGTTAAAACTCCACATAAAACCTAAAAAGGGAAATGCTTTATTTTAATAGCTATGATGTTGCAGTAATAGCTTCAGAAAAAGCATGTAATGGTTGGATTCTAAATTTCTGCATTTAGTTGTTTTGTACTTATGAATCTTTGGGTTGTTTTTATGGACCGTGCAAGTCCAGGCATATTTTGAATGGAAGTTTTCACAGCTTCAGGTAGATTTTTTGTGTGGAGGGAAAACACAGCATTCTGGGGTTCTGATGCTGGTTCAAGTGTAGCATAAACCCTCATGATTCATCCCACAGAACAGGTTTGGAAACACACAACTAGAAGTATGACACCTGACCAAAACAGAAACAGACTGGCAGAAAAGAGAGAAGGACACACTTACCCACTGTCATGGACTCTGGTAGACCAGATGTTGGCAACATCATGGAGAGAGGAGCTGAGTGTACTGGTGGACTGCACTCCATACTGAGACAAACCAGGAGAGGAACAGAAAACACTTGGATTAATCATTTTATTTCTTTATTTTGCACATTCCCCAGCAAAGTCTCGTAAAAAATGAATATTTTGGGTCCAGATAATCATCACAGATGTTAATGAATCACTTACTTGAAAGAGGGTTGTGATCTTTCACAGTTTTCTACTGATCCTGTAGAGTCACACTGAGCAGGAAACGCAGCTGCGTCTTCCACAGAGCTCGCTGGGGGAAAACGAAAGTGAAGCTGGAGGTGCGGGCCAACACAGAAAGCACCTACATTTCATCTGACAGCTCATTCACTGAAGCTGTGGTTGGCAGCAAGCAGCATGTCAAACAGGTAAGGTCCATGAATGAAAACTGTGCAGCATAGTAGAAGAAATGCTACAAGGGCAACAGGAAGTGGGTTTTCTTGTAAGACAGTAGTTGTGTTAGGTGTGGTACCAGTCTGAGGATCTGCAGGATTCACTGGGATCAGGATGTCTGTGCTGCTCTGGTTGGCCATGGTCTGCAGAGGACTCCACGTGGACACGCTGGTCAGACTGCCCACCACCACCCTGATACGAGATGGCATCATTCTCCATCAGTCTGAGTAATATTCTCTTCTATCCTGCTCTGCCTCACATATCATTTTCAAATACTCGGGATGTAAAATAATGCAATATTCTCCACTTGGACATATTTTTATTATATATTTTTTTCTTTCATACACAGGTGCTGGTCATAAAATGAGAATATCATGAAAAAGTTGATTTATTTCAGTAATTCCATTCAAAAAGTGAAACTTGTATATTATATTCATTCATTACACTCAGACTGATATATTTCAATGTTTATTTTAATGTTGATGATTATAACTAACAACTAATGAAAACCCCAAATCCAGTATCTCAGAAAATTAGAACATTACTTAAGACCAATAAAAAATATATATTTTTAGAAATGCTGGACAACTGAAAAGTATGAACATGAAAAGTATGAGCATGTACAGCACTCGGTACTTAGTTGGGGCTCCTTTTCCCTGGATTACTGCAGCAATGCGATGTGGCATGGAGTCATCAGTCTGTGGCTCTGCTCAGGTGTTATTCAATTCAATTCAATTCAAAAATACTTTATTAATCCCAAAGGGAAATTATTTGTTGTTGTAACTCGTTATCCTCATTTCATTCAGAGGTGTTATAGGTACTGATACTGATGGCTGTAGACAGGAAGGATCTCTTGTAAAGGTCCATCCCACAGTGGAGCCTAAGAAACTGGCTGCAGATGCTTTCCGATCCGTCTACCCAGACTCGGCTGGCCTCTCGGTTCCCCTGGGCTGTAGGACCGCCCGAATACCGGGCAGAACTCCTCCTAGAGCAATGGTCACTCCTCCCAGCAGTCTGCCGAGCTCCTCGTCATGTAGGTGCTGGGGGACGATCCTGTCCTTCTGCAGTCATGAGCCGTGTTTCCTGCTAGTTCCAGGATCTCAGTGGTCAGGCACTCGAGCACAGCTGGCAGGTAGATGAGAATGCATCCACAGAACATCCTTTTCAACTCATTTGAGATTTGGGGCTCTAGTTGAGATATTATTTGAGCTTTTGAGATGTTAATCAGCTGCTGTTGGTTGTAGAAAACTGCCTTGTTGCCATGGTTACGCATCATAACAAATGTCCAAAACTAGAAAAGTTTCAGTAAAAATCCTTCCAGCTGCACAGCATCTGATACCAGAGGAAACAATTATCCAAAAAATGGGATTTGCATACAGAAAAAGAGGAATTAAAGTTTCCAAAAGCAAAATCTCAGAATGAAAGTAACAGACCTGCTCCAACATGCAGCCAACTTGAGCGGCGCAATTCTAGAACTATGAGAGCCCAGGTTCCTCTGATAGTGGCCTTCAGCTCTTCTGAATTGTTGGGTCTGGTGTATCACATCTTCTCTTCACAATACTCCATAGATTTTCTATGGGGTTAAGGTCAGGTGAGTTTGCTGGTCAATTAAGAACAGGGATACCATGGTCCTTCAACCAGGTACTGGTAGCTTTAGCACTGTGTGCAGGTGCCAATTCCTGTTGGAAAATGAAATCTGCATCTCCATAAAGTTGGTCAGCAGCAGGAAGTATGAAGTGCTCTAAAACTTCCTGGTAGACGGCTGTGTTTACCTTGGACCTCAGAAAACACAGTGGACCAACACCAGCAGATGACATGGCCCCAAACCATCACTGACTGTGGAAACTTGACACTGGACCTGAAGCAATATGGATTCTGTGTCTCTCCTCTCTTTCTCCAGACTCTGGGACCTTGATTTCTAAAGGAAATGCAAAATATACTTTCATCAGAGAACATAACTTTGGACCACTCAACAGAAGTCCCAGGCGAGACGCTTCTGACGTTGTTTCTTGTTCAAGAGTGGCTTGACACAAGGAAAGCAACAGCTGAAACCCATGTCTTACATACGTCTGTGCATGGTGGTTCTTTTTGTTTTTGTGGTGGTTCCTGAAGCACTAACTCCAGCTACAGTCCACTCTTTGTGAATCTCCCACATTTTGGAATCGGTTTTGTTTCACAATCCTCTCTAGGGTGCCGTTATCCCTATTGCTTGTACACTTTTTTCTACCACATCTTTTCCTTCCCTTCCCGTCTCTAGTAATGTGCTTCAGAATCAGAATAAGCTTTATTATCATTGCACCGAGATACAACAAGAACATGTATGTACAGTCATCCAAAAGATGGACGTAGTGCACGAAGCTGCTATTATAAAAAACCATGGCCCTCTTATTCTTATTCAGAATAATATTTTTGCTTAGATGAGAAAAGGAAAGAAAACATGACGAGACGGTATTAAAAAAAAAAGATCTCTCACACCGTGTCCTAGACAGGGCACGATTTGAGGCATCAAAAAAACCTACCACATCAAAGCAACATAAACAGACGTTATACATGTACATATAGGCCGATGAAGACATTGAATTTTAAGGGAAAGTCGTAGCATAGTCCAGAGCCCCCCTCTCAGCCATTGTTCATATAAGAGGCGTTATTTATCATCAGCTTGGTTGAGGTTCCATCACATGTCCATGGCCTTGGTGAAGGAAGGGGTGAGGAGACAGACAAAGCATCTTTTGTTTTTCTTAAACATGCCAGGAGGAGTTGAGATAAGTCTGCCGTCAAGGCCACAGTTTGGGTCAGGCAGAACTCGTAAATTGCCGTTTCTGCCTTTTAAAGTCTCGCTGGTACATTTCTCTGATGGTAACTCCAAACAGCCAAATTGATTCCTTACGCCGAAAGTCGAGCTCACAGCTTTCTCTAAGTTTTGACACCTCCACATGAATTTGTAGACAATCCAGATTTCACGAACCCAAACAGCAAAATCCAGTTGTCATCATGAATCCAATTTGTTTCCGTCGAGGTAAGAGGGTCCTCCTTACCCTGACTCCTGTCGGGAGAAGTTGATCGATTTTGTTGAGAGACCAGCTGATCAAATCCTTGGAATTAGGAAGGTATGAAGGGAAAAAAGGCTCTTTAAGGGTTCACAAGACGAAAGAGAGCAAGCAGGGAAGCGGGGGGACGGAGCGCAGGGAGACATGTCTGTCTTCACCGGAGCACAGAGAAAGAAAAAAAAAAAGCTCTGTGAACAGCCAGCCTCTTTAGCAATGACCTTTTGTGTCTTGTCCTCCTTGTGCAAGGAGTCAATGGTCGTCTTTTGGACAACTGTCAATCAGCAGTCTTCTCCATGATTGTGTAGCAGAACTAGACTGAGACCATTTAAAGGTCTTTGCAAGTGTTTTGAGTTAATTAGCTGATTTGAGTGTGGCACCAGGTGTCTTCAATATTGAACTTTTTCACAATATTCTAATTTTCTTAGATACTGAATTTGGGGTTTTCATTAGTTGTCAGTTTTAATCATCAACATTAAAATAAATAAGCATTTGAAATATATCAGTCTGTGTGTAGTGAATGAATATAATATTCAAGTTTCACTTTTTGAATGCAATTACTGAAATAAATCAACTTTTTCATATGTAAATTTTTTGACCAGCACCTGCATATAAGCACATACAGTGGATACAAAAAGTCTACTCCCCGCTGGTAAAACGTTAGGTCTGTGATGTAAATAACATCAAACTTTGACATTATTTTTTTCCATCTTTAATGTGACATTTAATATTTACTATTAAACTGAAAAACAAATCTGATGCAAAAAGTGCAATCAGCTGTGTGTATAAATGTGCACACCATTAGTTCTGAACTTATTTTAAAGCGTTTTTTGATTTATTAACAGCCTTCAGTCTTTTTTTGGGAATGAATTTTTCTCAAGGCCAAACTTTGACTTGGTGATCAACGTGTGCAAGTCTTCCTAGCAAAGGTGCTCCAAGTCTGTCAGACAGTGAGTGCACAGCCTTTCAGGTCACCAAACATTTTTTATTTCTTCATCAGATTTAGTTCTAGACTCAGACTAATATATCCTAAAACTTGAATTGTTCTTGCTGTCAAGTCAGTGTTTTGTTGATCTGGATGCATCCTTTAGTTCATTGCTACTATGAAATACAAAACTCCCTTTCACCTTTAATTTTCAAGGAGACACCTGAAGATATTGAGCAACGTTCAGAAATCCATCCACCTTAACTAAAACCCCCGTTTCAGCTGAGGAACAGCAAACCCCACAACATGATGCTGCCACCTCCATGTTTCGCTGTAAGAATGGTGTTCTTTTGGTAATGCAGAGTTGTTCCTGCAGCAAACTTATCTTTTAGAATTGTAGTCTAAAAGTTCCACTTTGGGTTCATCAGAACACAAGATATTTTCCTGCAGGTTGTCAGAAAACTTGATGTTTCTTGAATGGACTTGTCTTAATTTAGCCAGTCCTTTTATTCTTTGTAGGAAAAAGTATTCTATCTTGTAAACTTATCCCATAGTCCAGACTTATGGAGAACACCAGAACTTTCTGCAGCTCCTTCAGTGTTACTGTAGGCCTTTGGCAGCCTCTGGCCTGCTCGTCTTCACTTTAATTTAGGTTGGATGTCCGGTTTACTATAATGAGTTGTCTCATCTAATGCAGCTGAGTAAATGCCAGAAACATCTCGCAGCGATAGTTCAGCTTCATTTTAGGCAACTTCAATTAATGACAAACGTGTATCTAAGAAGATTCAATGCTGTAAATGGGGAAAAAAAATACTTCACTTTTAGTTTAAGAGTATGCAATGTACTGTACTGTACTACACAATGTACTAAGCTGTCAGAGGTGTGCTCATTGTTATAGCCACTGCGTTAAACAGGTGAAAGTAAAGCTTTCAGGAAACATGGCTCACTGAAAACTTCTAAAAGTTTTTTCTATTATGAGATCTGAAAATCTGGTTTCCGTTTTTGCGCCCTCTCATATGTATTTTTGGGATTTTTGCAGTTTTGAGGTGACTGTTTCACTAAGCCGTGAAACAAAAACACACCTCTTTTCAAGAGGCAACGTGCTGTTGTGATCTAATTATCACCTCCAGCAGGAAAATAATTTCACAGTTAATAAAAGTAAACAAGCTGAGAGCAGAAACATAGCTGACTCTTGTTAAACGAGCGAGGTCTCTGCTCCTGCCTGCTTCAGGTTTCTGTCAGCGAAACATTTGACTGTACATTTGATTTTATTAACTGCTGCCATGAAACTCACTGATCTGTGGGGGTTCTCTCCTCCTCCTGTGTTTGAGCTCTAGGTTGGTACATCTCCTCTGCCTCCTCCTCCTCCTCTTCATTGTCCACACTCTTACTGTCAGGCAAAGGAGGTGCAGCTGTGGGAGTTGTGCGGCAGGGGTGAGGCGAGCCCACCCAGTTGACCACGCCCAGCTCTCCCAGGCCGTTCTGGGCCGGTGACTCAGAGCGGGTCGGCTCCAGGGGGTCTATCCCTTCCTCCACGCTGCTCTGAGCCGGAGCGGTTCGGCTCTTCCTCATGGCCCTCGTCTTCTGAGAGTCCTCCTCTCCCTCCTCCTCGTCCTCGGCACCGCAGTCCAGATCATCGTCGAAGGAAATGATGTTGGTGATCTTCTTCTTCCTTCGCCGCTCTTTCCGCAGGCCCGAGTCTAGGAGGAGAAAGCCTGAATCTTAATTACTTCAGTAATTGACAAACCAACATAACCCACTGACTCCAATGTAGGGCTGGGCGATGTATCAATTAGGGATGCACCGATCCACGTTTTTTTAACTTCCGATCGGATCCCGATACCTACATCTGGATATCGGCTGATACTGATACTATTCCGATATCATCATCATAATTGATTTTATGAGGCTGTAATAATTTCCTCTCAAGTACAATTTGTACAAATATATACATGCATGTCTAAAAATGCAACTTGAGGTAAGTTTTATTAATTTTGGATATTTTTTAAAGTTAGAATTAAATCCTATAACACAAAACATGTTTGTTTTATTCCTAGCTTTAAAGTGGATATTAAAGGGATTAAATGGCTTCAAACATCTGCTAAGTTCATGGCATAAACCAACACAGACATGTTCCTGTTTTTAGTATTTTACATTACTTTATAATGTAGCTGTTTTTGTTTGATTTTTTTTATACATATATAATTTTCTTTTATTTTTCAGTTCATACTTTTTTTTTTATGATTGTTCAATTCAGTTTATTTATATAGTGCCAAGTCACAACAGAAGTCATTTCAGGGCACTGTACAGAAACATTACAATAAGTTAACAGAAACATTCATATATAAAAATAACAATTTAAGACTATTTATCTGAGCAGATTACTTTGAATGTAACTCCATCACAGAACTCTCATCTTGAGCTGATAAATATCTCCTGGAGGGTAAATGTAAACTATATCTTAGCTGCAAGTATTCAATCAAGCTGCGGAGCAGACGGTCTGATTTCAGTCAGCCACGCTCAGTCTGTTCCTCAGAGACGGGCAGACCGAGCACGGCTGACTGAAATCAGACTGTCTGCTCCGGACTGAACGAGAGAAACACACCGCTGAAGCCACGGAGCTCCAACGTCCAACGTAAAACTAACGTTACTGCGGTGCCTGGCTAAACTATCCTCGTGCGATTTAATGTGGTGCTTTTTCAAATGTTTATTAAGGTTGATGTATTGTAGGTCGCGACCGAGCGTCCTCCTCTCGGTCAGCGGCTCTGCAGACATTGCACGTTGCTGTCTTGCGGTGTTTAGTGTAAAACACTTCCATACAGCGGACATGTTACGATGAAAAGTTGGTTAGCCGTTAGCAACAGTGCTGCTCAGTGCTCAGCCCTCAAAAGAGTATTTACTCACATTTTAGCTGGCTGCAAACTATGAAATGGATTTCCTGAATGTGAGGCGGGTCTTTTTACTCTGGGTTCATGAGACACGCCTCCACTCAGGAAATCCATTCCTTAGTTTGAAGCCAACCTGCAGAGCAGGTCATCAGACACAGACATGCATCATGGATCGGAAAGATCGGCAGGTTGGAACGGAAAAATCCGATACGTAAATTATGCTGGTATCGGAGGCCGATACTGGCTCGGATCGGCCCCATCTCTAGTATCGAATATACTCCATGTATCAAATGTACTCAATGTATCGAATATACTCAACATATTGAATTTACTTGATGTATTGAATATACTCCATGTATCATGAGTTATTCAATTTACGATGCTTAAAATGGCTCCATCGCAACCATCGAGTATAAATTGTCATTCAAAAAATAAGCTTTCTGCATCTAATTCACTGTGAGTGTTGTTTATCCGACACACTACGAATGCATCACTAAGCCCTGCCCCCTCCCAACCTGAAAAATTTCTGTCTGACATGCTGCGTGGAGCATGTGCATATAGACTTCAAGATAGGGAAAAATATGGCGACAGCGGGAGTTTCAGGTGAGACAGAGGATGCCATCTCCTCTGTGGTCCACACTGCTCTCAACCACCTGAGCAGAAAAACTCTTATGTCCGTATGCTCTTTGTGGACTTCACATCAGCCTTCAACACCATGATCCCCCAAACCCTGATGGACAAACTATCCACACTAGGACTAAGCCCATCCATTTGCAACTGGGTACTAGACTTCTTAACAAACAGACCACAGTCAGTGAGGATCCACAACTTCTCCTCCTCAACCATAACCCTTAGCACTGGCTCTCCTCAGGGATGTGTGTTGAGCCTCCTCCTGTTTACTCTGCTCACGTATGATTGTGCAGCTACCCATCCAGGCTGTCACATTGTAAAGTTTGCAGATGATACAGCGGTGGTGGGATGCATCACAAACAATGATGAGTCCAGCTACAGGCAAGAGGTGAAACACCTGGAGAGCTGGTGCAAAGAGAATAACCTTCACATCAATGTGATGAAGACAAAGGAGATGATTGTGGACTTCAGAAGGAACAAAAACATCTACACCCCCCTGAACATAAGAAGATCTGCGGTGGAAGTGGTCTCCAGCTACAAGTACTTGGGTGTACACATGAATGACAACCTCAGCTGGAGCAACAACACCACCAGCCTGATCAAGAAAGCTCATCAGAGACTCTACTTCCTCAGACGGCTGAGGCGAGCTGGTCTGGGAAGCTCAGTCCTCACCTCCTTCTACAGGTGTGCAGTGGAGAGCATCCTGTGCTCCAGCATCAACGTGTGGCATGGAGGCTGCACAGCTGCAGAAAGTAAAGCTTTGCAGAGAGTGGTGAAGGCTGCAAAGAAGACTGTCGGAGTCAGCCTCCCCACCATCACAGACATCTACACCTCTAGATGCAGGAAGAGGGCCACCTGCATCATGAAGGACCGCACTCACCCAGCACACACACTTTTTGCCCCACTCCCCTCAGGAAGGAGGTTGAGGAGCATTAAGTGTAGAACCACTAGACTGAGGAACAGCTTCTACCCTGAGGCTGTTAGACTCATGAATCTCTAACTAGAATAATCACTGTGAAAAATCACATCATGTTGCTGCTGATCTGTTTCATGTTGCTGCTGATCTGTTTAAATGTTGATGTGTTCATGCGTGCACATCCGCTCACACAGACTCATGTTCATGTTTGTGCTGATGTTCAATGTTTTTATGTTATGAGTGCTTAGTGTATATTTAGTTGATGTTTTTCTTAGTTCATATCTTAGATGTTATTACTGTTTTTCTTATACATTTTATTGTTGGATGTAACTGGGACCCTGTGTACATAATTTCGCTCCACCACATGTACCACGAGGTGCGAATGACAATAAAGAATCTCTGACTCTGACCGACTCTGACTCTGAGACTTCAAGACAGGGAAAAATATGGCGACAGCGGGAGTTTCAGGTGAGCAGGTGAATGAGAAGAACTGAAGAGGAGTCCGATGAAGAGAAATAGCGCTGGATCAATAATCTGGCAGTAGTTTGGATTTTATAAGGAGGATGACGAACAAAATGCAGTAATTTGCAAAACGTTGTAAAACCATTGCCACAAAACCAACAAAGTCCATGCTCAATAATCCAGGTATACAATCCAACAATTTTCAGTCAAGTCACGTTTCAGCACAAAAAAAGAAACTGTCCAGATGACCTGACTGAAAACTGTTGCATTGCCACAAAAGGTAGCAGTACAACAAATTTATTTTCACCACCTAAGAAGTCATCCACTGCAAAATGAAGAATGCTGTAAACTCCGTATGTCAACATCTCCCCACACACCTATCTGATATTAGCATCGGTACAATATTGAAATAAAATTCTAGACTGGGTATCGTGACAATGTGACCGATCCATAAGGACAGGAGCTGATTGCTGTTTGTTTTAAATATCTGCCAACCAAAGCTAGTGAAACTATTGTTTTTTTCCTCTTATTTCAGCTCCTTTATTATTTATTTTACATTATATTTAAAACTCCTGAACCATTTGAAATGTTTGTTAGTTTATTTTTTCATGTTTGACCAAATTTGTCAACCTATTGTTTTTGTCAGTTTCAGTATCTTTATTATTATTTATTTTACAAACCGGATTCCAAAAAAGTTGGGACACTAAACAAATTGTGAATAAAAACTGAATGAAATGATGTGGAGATGGCAAATGTCAATATTTTATTCGTAATATAACATAGATGACAGATCAAAAGTTTAATCTGAGTAAATGTAACATTTTAAAGGAAAAATATGTTGAGCCAAAATTTCACAGTGTCAACAAATCCCAAAGAAGTTGGGACAAGTAGCAATAAGTGGCTGGAAAAAGGAAATTGAGCATATTGAGCAATTGAGCAACAGCTGGAAGACCAATCAACACAAATTAGGTCAAGTGACAACATGATTGGGTATAAAAAGAGCTTCTCAGAGTGTCAGTGTCTCTCAGAAGCCAAGATGGTAAGAGGATCACCAATTCCACCATTGTTGCGCAGAAAGATAGTGCAGCAATACCAGAATGGTGTTACCCAGCGTAAAATAGCAAAGACTTTTAAGTTATCATCATCAACCGTGCATAACATCATCAAAAGATTCAGAGAATCTGGAACAATCGCTGTGCGTAAGGGTCAAGGCCGTAAAACTCTACTGGATGCTCGTGATCTCCGGGCCCTTAAACGTCACTGCACCTCAAACGGGAATGCCACTGTCAAGGAAATAACAGAATAGGCTCAGGAATACTTCCAGAAAGCATTGTCAGTGAACACAATCCACCGTGCCATCCGCCGTTGCCAGCTGAAACTCTACAGTGCAAAGAGGAAGCCATTTCTAAGCAAGCTCCACAAGCTCTGACGTTTGCACTGGGCCAGGGGTCATTTAAAATGGAGTGTGGCAAAATGGAAGAGTCACGATACGAAGTTCTTTATGGAACACTGGGATGCCATGTCATCCGGACCAGAGAGTACAAGGATAGCCCAAGTTGTTATCAACGCTCCGTTCAGAAGCCTGCATCACTGATGGTATGGGGTTGCACGAGCGCTTGTAGCATGGGCAGCTTGCATGTCTGGAAAGGCACCATTAATGCAGAGAACTATGTTCAGGTTCTAGAACAACATATGCTCCCATCTTGACGTCATCTCTTTCAGGGAAGACCCTGCATTATTCAACACGATAATGCCAGACCACATTCTGCAGCAATCACAACATCATGGCTACGTAGGAGAAGGATCCGGGTACTGAAATGGCCAGCCTGCAGTCCAGATCTTTCACCTATAGAGAACATTTGACGCATCATAAAGAGGAAGGTGCGACAAAGAAGGCCCAAGACGATTGAACAGTTAGAGGCCTGTATTAGACATGAATGGGAGAGCATTCCTATTTCTAAACTTGAGAAACTGGTCTCCTCTGTCCCCAGACGTCTGTTGAGTGTTGTAAGAAGAAGGGGGGATGCCACACAGTGGTAAAAATGGACTTGTCCCAACTTTTTTGGGATTTGTTGACGCCATGAAATTTGGAAACAACAGATTTTTCCCTTAAAATGATACATTCTCTCAGTTTAAACTTTTGATCTGTGATTTGTGTTCTATTCTGAATAAAATATTAGATGTTGGCACCTCCACATCATTGCATTCAGTTTTTATTCACAATTTGTTTAGTGTCCCAACTTTTTTGGAATCCGGTTTGTACATTGGATGTTACTCTCATAATTGCTCTGACTGTACAAATTAAAGTTGTGTTGTTTTTACATGTTTGGCCAATTAAGCTTGTGAAGCTATTGGTGTGTTTAAGTGTGCTGTACTGGTGCTGTTCTCAATAAATTTGTAATTCAGTACAAGTATGTCTGTGTTTTCTAAAAAAAACTAATGTTTTAAGTTAATTCAGCAATGTTTTTCTGTATCGAATCGGTATTGGATCGGTATAAACATCAGATATTGTTATGTAGTATGCTAAAGGCTAGGTTAGCTTGGTGAGCTTCAGAGCTCCACTACAGTCATATTTTAATAATGGGTTCTCTCTTTTTTGAGCTACTTGACAGATATGTGACAGAGGTACTGTGTTGTCGATGGTTTAATCAGTGATATGAGACGTTAATTTTCTTTAACCCATCAAAATGAATGTGGTCATTTATTAACAGAATCAAAATTTAACATCAAAACATTGTACACTTGATTATACTGATCGGCTCTGATTAATAAAACTTGGCACGTTTTACTTAATAAAAACAACAAACATTTCTGAAAATATCTGGATTAATTACTGGCAAGATAGAAGAGTTTTAAAGATGGGAAATGAAGGAGTTTAAATGGAGAGAAAATGTGGAGGAAGAAAGTGTGTTGACGAGGAATGGCACCCTTCATCCGACCCCAGCTCAGCCCCGGTACACTAGGTAGTGAAGCGACTCGTTACCTTTGCAGAAGATAGGTCAGCTCCGGTACGGAGTTCCATTTCAATGCTACCTTTCAGCGTCTCCTCAGGATGGCTGAGAATCGTCCGAAGTAGTGACGGTACTCCGTTCAACAACACGCTCACCTCCCGGGTAGGTACACAGCGAGCTGTGAGTCCGTCAGAGGTTCCACTCAGATGTGGAAGGCTCCATTACCCCAACTAGACTCAGAAGACTGAGTCTGAGAAAAACTCAGAAGAACTCCTAGGAACCCCAGCCGAACTCCATCAGAACCAGAAGAACTAACGGAACTCGGAAGTGTCGACTTTTAAAGAATTCTGCTTCTGGTCACTTTTAGGAAGTCCTGATTGGTTGAAGGAACCAACAGGGGTGTGGTTTTAGTGACGTCAGAGGGTCATTACCAGTCAAGAAAACAGCGGAAATGTTTAGGAACAGACAGAGAAATGTTTTGACGAGGTGAAAAACACTGCAGGTGCCAGTTCTCTTGTTTCTGTCTGAGAGGTTTAAAAACACGACAGCTCGTTCCAATAACTTGTTTTCGACTGTCTCCGACTTTTGACCGACATCACTCCTTCTCATTTCAGACAGAAGATCAAACATGCATAATTACTTTGTAAAATAGACATTTAACTTGATTTCTACTTTGAATGAGGATTAAAAAATCATTAATACTGTTTCACAGTTGATTTAAAATGAGTGGTTCACTTCAACATTTAAAAATGGTATGAACTAAACACACTTTTGATTATCAAGACTTTGTAAAATAGTAATGATAATATAAAAAAGAGAGTGTTCTTTCAATTGATTAGTTCAGGATACAATTAGAAAGTCTCTGGATGAGCTAATTTGTATTTCTGGATTCAAATCAATGAAATAACAGTTCCTGTCCCATGAAAGTCTTCAGAGGCAGGTTTGATCGGAGGCCTAGTTCACTACAGGTATCAGTATCGGAAGTGCAAAAAGTGGATCGGTGCATCACTAAAGAAAACGTCAAATAAACCAGCTGTGATGCAGATGACACTAAATACATTTATTCTGGTTTGGTATTCAAATTTAAAAAAATATGAATCTGTTTGAACAGAGTACACCAGTGCCATTTTACATGCTATATAGTTTAAAATAACACTGGAGGTTATTTATAAATATCGTGATATACATCGTGTATTGTGATATAGCAAAAATTATATCGGAATATTAGATTTTCCTCGTATCGCCCAGCCCTACTCCAACATGCAATAAATAAATAAATTAAATTAATTTCAAGCATTTTCTGGTTATAAAACAAGTCCTGTTGAGCTCACAAAGACTGAAAATTTTATTCAAACCTTATTTGGCAGCAGGTACTGAGAATTACCCTTTGACACTAGATAAATACAATCAAAAAGATAAATCACAGACTGAAAATCATCCTTTCTGCTATATTTAAAGGCACGGACTTAAAGCAGGTTATTCAAAACAAAACAAGAAAACAGACTTTCCCCTCTCTGAGTCAGAGGCTGACAGTGCATTAGCAAATCTGGTGTCAGTGAATAATGTGAACGGGTCACCCCGCTCTGAGGATGTTGGAATTTCATTTACATTCATTACTCAGAAAGTTTTCCACCATACAGGTTTTAAACTGTCCCACCAAAGGGAGCATAAGGAGAGGAAACGTTAGGTTCTTCAGGAAGGAAAGGGGGCAGGGAGACAAGGGCAAGCATGTTTGTCCAACCAGTGCATCCAACATGCATATGTCAACTGGGCCATATGTTGTTTTTGTAAAAAAAAACTGTAACAAGCTGCATTATCAGATTAAAGGTCTGGTGTTCCTTGAAAGAAAATATGTTGCCTGCTACGTTTCACGCCAAAGTTTTCAACTAAGATCATCCTTTGTTGAGAAAAAAAAAAAACATGATTTGGACAAAACTTGAAAATAACTGTGCGCCATATCATGATGTCTCATGATCTGTTTAGAGCTCAAAGGATGTGTTGTGAATGACTCAAAGCTACCACTGGGCCTGTCGCAATAAACAATAAATCAATTAATCACATGAAAAATGAAAAATCATCTAACTAATTTTCATTTATCGGCTTTATCATTTCTTCGTGTCTCTCTCTTTCTACTGAAGACACTGGATGACAAAAAGGCTCAACTCCGGTGCTCTTCACTGACCCCTCCCTTTCTCTTTTTTAGCTTTTCTTTAAAATCCATTTTAACAATCCAAAATCGTGTTTTTGGAATGTTAAAAGCAGCTAAGCTAAGAAGCTAAGCTAACCAACCTTGGGGAAAAAAAACTCCGTTTTGTTGAAGCTCCAAAATTCACAGTTGAAATCCGTGCCTTCGTGTAAAAAGTTTTTCTCTGATAAAAGAAGCTGAGAACTTGTTTACTGATTTTTTTAAATAAAAGCTTTGTATGACTAATGCTATGCTAAAGAGCTCAAACCACACCGAGCATCCGCCAATTTGAGAACTGAAGAGAGACAGCCCATGTCACGTCAAGGGGCCTCCCTCCCATTTTTCTTAAAGTGACGCTGCTCACTCCCTCACTATCCATCCTTTGGTTCAAACAGTCTTGTACTGCCATCTGGTGGTCAAAAAAGGTACTACACGCAAAATAAATTAACCATTTTTTCTTAAATTTGACAATAATTACTAAATAATTATTGTCAAATTTCAAACAATATCATCGTTTATCACAATAATTTCTGAGACTATTAATCGCCCAGCAAAATTTGTTATCGTGACAGGCCTAGCTACCACCACATCAGAATTTATCTCAGTATCTGTGAAGATGACAGAGTTGTTGCCATTTTTGTGCTGGCTGAGGTTGGTTAGCTGTGGCAGCCATCTTGAATCAGGTTGACTCTAAAAGTTAACCAGTTGTAGAAGAGCATCCATTAATGTACTTCTGAGAGTTTCATTTAAATCGGTCCAGTAGTTCATGATATATTTTGCTAACAGACATGCAGGATTGACTAACAGTTAATGCCAGTGTTTTAAGCAAGGACGCCACACAATACATGTAGCTCTCGCAAACCAAAAGCATGCATGTTAGTCTAATTGGTAACTCTAAATCAGGGGTCGCCAGCACGGTGCCCTCTGGGACCACATGAGCCGCCCGCTGCAGGTTCTAAAAATAACACTCGTCATCAAGGAGCACCGCCTAAAAAGCGTCATTAATTATATGATTTAAAATTTAAGTAATCACATTAATGAGGATGCAGATTTGAAATGAAAATAGTTAATGAAAACTTTTGGAATAAAATGTTTTTCGTATACAGCTTAGCAACCTCGTGGAGTGAAAGTTCTGAACGATGCGGAGACGCACTGAGATCTCTGCGAGCGGCACAGCTACAAACCGTTTTTCCTCCCTGAGTAGAGGAGAAATGGCTGAAAAGATTTAAAAAGAACAATATTTTCACGGTGATTGGGACAGGACAGCGCTCCTTCCTACCAGCGGAGGTGCTGCGTGGCAGTACAGGCAGCGGGTCCGAGGGGCCGTCCGCCCTGGAGGTGAAGCCGGGCACCACGGCCGTGGCAGTGCCGATCTCTCGCAGGAGGCTGCTCACTCCCTGAGTGGACTCCTTCAGAAGGCTGCCGATGCCCTGCGTGGACTCCTTGAGGAGGTGGGACACTGAGGAGCCCCCTCGTGTCAACCCACCGTTAAGGTCACCGTTGTCGATGTTGATGGCAAACAGGATGGAGTTCAAACCTGAGAGCAACAGAAGGAGCAGGAGGCGGTGAAGTTTCTGAACATCAGACAAGTGCTTGTTAGAGAGTCCATCTGCCTGCGTGTGAAAAGATGCCAAACGATCCAGGAGATTTTGTTTCTTAATATGTTACGTTTTGTTTCTATCCGAGTTGTGCTGTGAAAGAGAACGCAAACACAGATTCAGTCTGCCGTGTTTACAGAGTGGTCGAGTCAGCTTCCTGCTTGTGAAGCAGCTCCGTTTGCACAAAGACATTTTTAGCTTCTAAGAACACGGTTTAAAGATTTTAGCCACAACAAGTTCATTGTAAAAACGCTCTTACAGCTCCAGAACCAAAATGGTACTCAGATAATGAATTGGCAACACTTCAGCTTTGTGACATGGTGTTTTAAAATGTTCACAGATCACAAACTGAGCCTGGGCCGTTGGAAGACGGTGCTGTCGAACACTCATCTTTGGTCATAGCAGAGTTCCTGGTCTCCATTAGGAGTGAACCCCTCACCTGGATGAGAAGCAACACCCTCACATGAATTATATCGGGACAATCCCTCACCTTCTTTTCCTTCTTAGAGTGGCTTCTTTGCAGCACACCGTGTGCCTCCGATGCACAATTTTAAATTCAAGTTAAGTAGATGGTTTATTGATCATTAATTCTTCTGAGGGTCTTTCCAACTTATTCTTTTTAATTTGGATTTTGGAGATTTCAAAACAAATGTAAACAAGTCTCAGGTCCAGGAGACACAGAGCATCTGAAGGTCGTATAAGGAAAACTCCTACGAAGAATGGAGACGGACGTTAAAGAGGCGTCGCCCTGATCATCATCTGTCAAGATGTTTAGCTTACAGCTCTTTGTGCTAAAACATAGTTGTCAAACAGCAACACGGTGTTTTAGAACAAACCGTACCTTTGTGACAAACTGCAGTAAAATAAGTGCCTTAAGATCGAGTTGTGTGAATGTTCATGAAGCATTCACTCGATTGTGATCCGTTTTTCTTCCGTATATTTTTCAGCACGATTCTCATCCTGCAGTTTTCAAGATATTTCAACAAAAAACACACGGCCTGGCCAAAAAAAATAAATCTTGCCACCAAAAAGGGTCTCACACTAATATTTCGTTGGACCGCCTTTAGCTTTGATTACGACACGCATTCACTGTGGCATTGTTTCGATAAGCTTCTGTGCATCACTTCACCTGCCTCTCTTCTTACCCTGGTGCAGCCATCACTCTGGAACAGAGTAAATCTGGACTCATCAGACCACATGACCTTCTTCCATTGCTCCAGAGTCCAATCTTTATGCTCCCTAACAAACTGAAGCCTTTTTTTCCAGTTAGCTTCACTGATTAGTGGTTTTCTTAAGGCTACACAGCTGTTCAGTCCCAATCGCTTGAGTTCCTTCACAGTGCGTTTGTGTAAATGCTCTTACTTTCACTATTAAACACAGCCCTGAGTGCTCCTGTTGTTTTTCTTCCATTTGATTTCACCAAACGTTTAAGTGATGCCGATCACGATCATTCAGGATTTTTTTCCGGCCACATTTCTTCCTCGAAGACGATGGGTCCCCACTATCCATCTCCTTAGATGTTTTCTCTGCTTGATGCCAATGATTTGACCCTTCTCAAACAGACGGACATCTTTTCCACGACCACGCGATGCGTCTTTCAACATGGTTGTTTAAGAAATGAGAAGCAACTCATTGCACCAGTTGGGGTTAAATAACTTGTTGGCAGCTGAAATATAATCACCCATGCAGTAATTATCTAATAGGAGGCTCGTACCCCAGGTGGAGAGTTTTTTTTTTTTGGTCAGGCAGTGTAAATCAAAACGTTCAGCTCTTTCAGGACAATCCTGCTATGGCTTTTGGTATTAGTGCAACTTTAGCTTTTTGCAATTTTTAGCCTTTTCTGCCATTTTTTTCCTAATAGAAAAAAAACCTGAGCTCATTTTACCTCCTTCAAATCTTTAGATGTGTTTACAACCTTTTACTGCTCCTTTCACATTTTGTTCTGCTTAAGCTTCTTTTAACTTCCTTCTGCAAATTTTAAAAAAAATTCAGCTTCTTTCAGCTAATTTTAATTGCTAGTGCTCCTTTCAGATTATTTTCTCATTTAGATAGACATAGATTTCTAACTACAACATTTTTGTGCTTCTTCTAACTTCTGCTAATTTCAGCTTGTTATGCTCCTTTCAGCTTATTTCTGCAAGTTTAAGCTATTTCTACTATTTCAGCTACTATTTAGCTGTTCTTATGCTAATTTTAGCTTTTTCACCTTATTCCACATTCTTTGTACGGATTTCAACTTTTTTCATCCTAATTCAGCTAAAATGTGCTCTCTGCACATCCTACTGGTAATTTAAGCTTCTTTCTGCCTTTTTAGCTACTTTTCAGCTGTTTTTTTCCTCATCTTTTTTCAGGTAATTTCCACTTTTCTGTGCTCATTTCAGCTTCTTTCAGCCTAATTGAGCAAACGTGTTTTTTGAACTTTCTTCTGCTCATTTAATCTTGTTCTATCTTTTTAGCATTTTTGTAGCCAATTTCAGCCGTTTTCAGATAAATTCAAGTCTTTCGTAGTAATGTCTGCTACTTTCAGCCTTCTTTATGCTAATTTCAGCTCGGTATGCTCCTTTCTGCTTTTTCTGTTTGTTTCAGCTTTTTCTGATCTTTTAGTTACTATTTACCTGTTTTTGTGTAAAATTTTAGCTTGTTCAGCTAATTCCACAGTTTTTAGATTATTTCAGCTCTTCCCACTTCCTTCTGGAAGTTTAAGCTTTTTTCTGCATTTTCTGCTACTTTTCAGCTATTTTTGGCTAATTTCAGCTTTTATTTTTAGCTAATTCCCTAATTTTTGTGCTCATTTCCAGTTAATTGAGCCTAATTCAGCTAATATCTGTTCTTTCTGCTTTCTTCTGCTAACTTAGTCTTGTTCTTTCATCCATCCATCCAGCCGAAGTGTCCCTGGGCAAGAAACTGGACCCCTCATAGCCTCTGATGTGTCCCATCAGTGTTTGAATGTGACTTAAAGCTCTGATTAGTCTCTTTAGAACGATTTGTTCAATTAGCTTTGTAGAGATCTAGTAGAGAGCTGTATGAATGGGTAAATGAGGACACAGATTGTAGAGTAAAGCACTTTGAGTATCTTGATATAGGATAGAAAGGTGCTATATAAGTATAGTCCATTTATCCATCCATCCATCATCTTTTACCTGTTTCTTACATTTTGGGTCACGGGGGTCGCCAGTGCCCATGTCCAGCAATCACTGTGCGAGGGGCGGGGTACACCCTGGACGGGTCGCAAGTCCATCACAGGGACACATAGAGACAAACGAGACAAACAACCATTCACTCTCTCACTCACACCTAGGGACAATTTAGAATTATCAATCAGCCTAACATGCATGTTTTTGGTCTGTGGGAGGAAACCGGAGCACCCGGAGAAAACCCACGCATGCACGGAGAGAACATGCAAACTCCAACCAGAAAGGCCCCCGAACCGGGATTTGAACCAGGGACCTGCTCGCTGAGAGGCAGCAGCTCTACCAGTTGCACCACCGTGCTGCCCCTTGTTCTTTCATTTCAGTGACATTTCATCTTATTTTAGCTAATTTCAGCTGTTTTTCAGCAAGTTCTTCCGCAATAAGCATTCACACTACATTTTTGCAGGAAATCCAATTTTCTATAGTTTAACATGGATTCTTTGCTAAGTTAGGTTATGTGCATGCATATTACTGCTCCATTACTTAAGTTTAGCTCATTTTTTAGTAGGTCAGATAAAACATTTGTCTGAAAATAGATATGTTACGGATAAAAAGCTGATAGAGAACTTTACTAATTGGCTTTTATGTCTGTGAATGTTCCTGTAACGTGCCCTGAGACAAGTTTGTTGTGATTTGGCGCTATATAAATAAACTGAATTGAATTGAATTGATAAAAAGTGAAAACAGACAACAATCATAAAAATAAGTAAATAAAAACTCTAAAAGACTTAAGAGGGGTTTTTTTACATTTCCAGAAAGCCCTAAACAATATTAATAGAGACTACTGTACAGAATTACAAGAAAATCTGACTTGTAAGCAAATTATATAAAAAAAAAAAAAGATTTATAAAAAAATATTTTTGGGGTGACTCATGATTTTTGAACTGTACTTTTGATTTTGTGTTTTGAATGAGCCATGTGAGACCATGCACAGTGTGTAATAGAGACATTCTGACGCTTTAAAACCCAAACTCACCTGCAGCCATCGTGGGGAGCATACTCGCTCGCTCTTCATCGAGAACAAAAGCCCAGTCTTCATAGAACGTTCTGGACAAGAAACAAAACAACAAACTTACACATCCAGTGGATTCCCACCTGTTTGACATTTCAGATGTGTGAAGCATACTTTCATAACACTGTATTTTTCGGACTATAAGGCGCAGCGGATTATAATCTATATCTTGTGATTCTTGTGTATGTTCCTTTGCACTGAAACTCTGGCACAACAATTTCCAGCGGGATCAGTGAAGTTCTATCTTGTCTTATCGTAGACTGAATAAAGCACACTGGCTGCACTGACCCCAGGCGTGGTCGGTCCGCCAGCAGCGTGTGCAGGTAGCGCTCCAGCGAGTGTTCGTTGAGGGCGCAGCGCAGCCAGGCACGACCCCGGCCAAGTTCCGAGGAGATCTGTCGCAGGGAGTAGAAACGCTGGAGCTCGTGGCGGTTCAGCTGCTCCTTCACGTAGAACCAAAAGGTCAGCTCTGTGCAAGAAAGAAGACAAAAGGAGAGAAGAAGAAATGGGACAATGCAGAGAATATTAGCACCGTCTTATTTGGAGCAGCTTCTGAATTTATTCAGCAACTTTAAAAATGTCCTTTTTCATTAAAGCTCCACCTCCTGTCGCCTCGCCATATTTAGCTCCAACCTGACAACTTGTAAATTATATAATTTCCTATAAAAGACTTTTAAGAAATCCTGATCTGCTTTAGAGAAAGTTTTCGCAGTGCGGTAATTGATAGGATGGAGCGTTGTGCTGCTCGTGTGCGTACAATTCATTTGACCTCAAAGCAGAGTGTTAAATTTATGACGGTTCTTTCCAGCTTTGTCAGAAGACACAGCTTCATTAGGAGCTCTAAATCCAGGAGCTCAGAGCACAATATGGTCTTCTAATTTACTGTGAAATGAAGGAGAACGTAAGAAATGCTAATGGGAGGAAGCCACACATTCCTCCTTCGGCTGAAATAAACGGATATTTTAAGTTTGACAGGAAAAAAGAACTTGTTCAGTGTTTTCTTGAATACCAAACTACTGCAAAGAAAATATGTTTATTTTCAAGCTTCGACTAGAACCCCAATTTTGAATAAAAGTAACACTTTTTCTTCTTCTTCTTTCAGCTGTTCCCTCTTCAGGGGTCGCCACAGTGAGTCGTCCTCCTCCACCTCACTCTGTCCTCACTCCAACTACCTCCATGTCCTCTCTAACTGCATCCATATATCTCCTCTTTGGCTTTTTCCTGGCAGCTGCATTTCTAACATCCTTCTACCAGTATACCCACTGTCCCTCCTCTGGACATGTCCAAACCACTGTCCCTCCTCTGGACATGTCCAAACCATCTCAGTCTGGTCTCTCTAACTTCATCTCCCAGTTGTTCAACCTGTGCTGTACCTCTGATGATCTCATTCCTAATCTAATCCAGCCTTGTCACTCCTAAGGAGAACTTTGTTATATTCAGAAATAAATCATAGGAAGACATTTGCACACCACAAATTACCTTAGATATGCCACTTTTATAGCCAAAAATCAATCATAGCTTATAATTTAACAGTGACACAGGGTTTCACTCTTAAAATCGCTTCGTCTCCCTCACAGGGATTATATTTAGAAGATTCAAGCTCATGCAGTCATGGCACCCTTAATAAATGCACTTTAATGGTCAAAAAAGCTTAATCTTGCCTGCCAAGTATCGATTACGGTCTGTTAAAAATCTATTTTTGATCATAAATGAACAGTGACACAGAGCTTCTCTCTTAAAATCGCTTCGTCTCCCTCACAGGGATTATATTTATAAGATTCAAGCTTGTGCAGTCGGGGAACACCGCTGTTAAAAAGTGCCGTTTTTGAAAATGTATTGAACCTTTTTTATATAAAAAAGTACCTTAAAAATGCTCTAAACATCTTTGGGTCATAATTTAATTTTGTGCATAATAATCAAGAGTAAGCTGGAAAATATTTTGCGATTAATCACGATTAAAATTTTGAATCTTTGCCCAGCACTAAAAAAAATGATCAAAGGAGAGACAGAAGAGTTCAACACGCTCCTGTAAATAAAATATAAATTCTTCCTCGTCATCTCATCAGCTACAAATATGGCACAACCACAGCAGTGACAGTGAAACTGAGAAGACTTCTCTATTCTGAGGGTCTGCTTTCACAGACACGATGTGTGCAGATGTTCACTGACGCATCTGCATCCTGTCACGACAACAAACCAATCTATCGAGGGTTAGTGTTCTCAGCTTGAGATTATCCCACAGCTTGGATTTTTAACCTCAGACCTGAGCTCAAAGAAATGCACAGACAGCACGGCTGTTACCTGCTTCTGCCTTGCTGCTGAAGCCTGCAGCCTGCTTGAGAGCAGCGGCGGTGAGGGCCAGACCCCTGCTCTTCCTCAGCCCATGCTGCAGCACCGCCTCAAACTGGGCGCACAGGCAGATCACCCTGCAGAGACGCACACAGGTTCCCCTCAACGCACAGGAGGCTCATTCAGACATTCTTAATAAAGAACTAGAGAAATTACATTTCCTGTGAAAATGCAGTGTGAATGTTTATTGCAGAAGAACTTGCTAAAAAAAACTGCTGAAATTAGCTAAAACATGCTAAAATGTAGCTGAAATGAACAAAACTAAATTAGCAGAAGAGAGCAGAAAGAACACATATTTGCTGAATTAGATCAAAAATTAGGAAATGAGCAAAAAAAAGCTTAAAGTAGCTGAAAAGGCCAAAAGAAGCATAAACTACTAGAAGGAAGTGAAAGGAGCTGAAAAGAGCTCCAAGAATGTGGAATTAGCTGAAAAAGGTACATTTAGCATATAAAACAGCTAAATAGTAGCTGAAATAGCAAAAAAAAAAAAAAAAGCTGAAACTAGCAGAAATATGCAGCAAGGAGCATAACAAGCTGAGATTAACATAAAGTTAAATAGGCTGAAAGTAGCAGAAGTTACGGTACCACAAAAAAATTGAATTTATCTGAAAACATGAAAGTAGCTAAAAAGTGCTAAAAGGGTAGCTGAACAGGTAAAACAAGCTTAAATTAGCAGAAGAATGTGCAAAGAATAGTTTGCTGAAAGAAGCAGAAATGAGCACAAAAAGTGGAACTTATCTGAATATACTGAAATTTGCAAAGAACAGCTGAAAAGTAGCTAAAGAGCAGAAATAAGCTTAAATTACCAGAATGAAGTGAAGAGAGCACATTTTAGTTGAATTAGGCTGAAAAAAGTTGAATTGAGTGCTAAAAATGTGGAATTAGCTGAAAAGGCTAAAAATGAGCATAAAACAGCTAAATAGTTACAGAAATAGTAGAAAAGGCTGAAACTTGTTGAAATAAGCTGAAAGGAGCATAACAAGCTAAAATTAGCAGAAATAAGTAAGAAAAAGTACAAAATAGTTGTAGTTAGCAGAAAGAATCTGAAAGTAGCACAAACCAGCTGACAAACAGCTGAAAGTAGCTGAAAAAAGTTTACATTTGCACAAGGAAGCTGAACGAAGCTGAACCAGAACAAAATGTGAAAGGAGCAGTAAAAGGTTGTAAACACATCTAAAGATTTCAAGGAGGTAAAATGAGCTCAATTCATTTTCTATGAGACCAAAAATGGCAGAAAAGGCTAAATATTTCAAAAAGCTAAAGTTTCACCAGTACCAAAAGTCTTAGCGGGATTCTGCTGAAAGAGCTGAACGTTTTGATTTATGACTTGTTGAAATAGCACAAAAATTGTGGAACGACAAAAATGAATCACAATAGAGTGAACGCTTCATAAACACAAATAAATAAAAGTATGTGTATGAGCAGGATAACTGTTCACAGGAGGCCAAAGGCAAAAGCACCACATGAATTAAACAGAACAGCGTTTTAGCTGTTTCAGCCAAACTTTGTAACTAAATTATGCACGGTCTCGTGTGATATTGTGAAGATCAGTGTTGGAGTTGTACTGAGAATGACTCTCAGCTACTTCTAAATCAAACAGTAGCTCAGTATCTGTATAATTCACTGAGTTACAGCCATTGTTGTGTTTTCCAATGCAGCCATCTTGAATTAGGCTGCCACCAAAAGTTCATCTGCTGTAAATGTCCATCTAGTGATACATTTCTGAGAGGTTCATTAAAACCTAACAGTTGGTGAGGAAACACTTTAACACGAAACACGACCAAACTCAGACACAAGTTTAAAGCACTTCCTCATCAGGTGACACAAGACGGTAACACCTGAATCACACTAACCTGAGTGCCAAAAAAAACACCCAGACTGAGCTGAAGAATTCCAGGTTAACTTGTCCTACCTGCTGTCGGAGTCTGTGGCGATCTCCTTTCGTCCTCCGAAGCGGATTTGGCACTGGAAAGATATGAGAGGAATCATTTTCTTTAAACACACACACATACAGTGTTTCCCTGCACTTTGTTGTGCATTTTTAACATTGCAGCATACAAGATGTTTTGGTACACTTGTGGGGACGTCTGTTTAAGCGACAAAACAGTAAAAGTGGCTACAATATCAGGTAAAACAAAAAAGAACTAAAATCATAAAAATCACTGATTTACTTTTGGAGTCAATCCAAATGAAAATGGCTGCCTCAACTGATCAACATTAGCCAACACAAAAGTGGCTATAACTCAGACAACTTCACAGCTAATGAGGTGAAGTTTAGCTGATGGTCATTCACAAAACAATTATTATTATTCACAAAGTTTGTTTTCTCAGTCATCCAGGTATATAACAACAAAAAAGGTTGAATCATGTCATCTGGACTTCGTTTTTTTTGTTAAAAAGAAACGTTTCGCCCCTCATCCAAGAGGCTTCGTCAGTCTGAGGCCTAGCCATCTGGTATTACCCAGAAGCCACCCTGACTCTTGTGTTTCAAGCCTGCCTCAGATACCCCTGAAGTCTGGCCTTTTCACTAATGGTTTCAAAAACACAAAGTTTGTTTTCTCAGTCATCCAGGTAGGGAGGTTTTTTCTTTCCACTGTCGCCTTCATGCTCAAGATGAGAGTTCTGTGATGAGTTAAATTCAACGCAGTCTGCTCCTCAGATAAATAATGTTAAATTATTATTTGTATATATGAATGTTTCTGTTCAGTGCACTGAGATGATTCTGTTGTGACTTGGCGCTTTATAAACTGAATTGAAACTGAATTTCAGCTGTTTTAAGATAAATTCTAGTTTTTTGTGGTAATTTCAGCGACTTTCAGCCTAATTAACTTCTTTCTGTTAATTTCAGCTTTTTCTGCTCTTTAAGCTATTTTTTAGCTGTTTATGTGCTAAATTTAGTTTTATCAGGTAACTCCACATTTTTAGCTCATTTCAGCTCCTTCCATTTCGTTCTGGTAGCTTAAGTTTCTTGCTGCATTTTCAGCTACTTTTAGCTAATTTTCAAATTTTGTGGCTCATTTCTGCTTATTTACTGGTAATCCTAATTCAGCAAATATGTATTCTTTGCGTTCTTCTGCTATCTTAGGCTTGTTCTTCCATTTCAGCTACATTTCTGCATGTTTTTAGCTAATTTCAGATGTTTTTTCAGCATTTTCTTCAGCAATAAGCATTCACACTACATTTTCACATGAAATGTATGGTAATTTCTCTCTCTTTTTTTTGTCTTCTTTCAGCTGCTTCCTTCTTCAGGAGTTGCCACATTGAACTGAGTCACACTAAGACTTGACAATTACTTTTACGCCAGATGTCCTTCCTGATGCAACCACAGAGCACCGAGCTACCACAGCCCTCTGTGTGGAGCAGAGAGCTGCCATCTAGGGCACCCGGGGGAGCAGATGGTGGGGTTAAGAGCCTTGCTCAAGGGCCCAGAGTGGGACAAATGAGGGTGGAGGCAGGGTGCTTCACCTATCTCACTTACATTTTGATGTTGTCAGTACCAGGAGTTGAACCGACGATCTTCCGATCACAGGCCCACCTCCTCTAACCTCTGCTCCACCACTCCCTGCAATTGCTCTAGTTATTATTGTAATATTTTAATTCAATTACAATTAGTTTAAATACTTTGTTCTGTTTTGTGTTTTAGGAGGACTAAATGTCTCTGATTCATTCTGACATCGTCGACGTTCTCAGTTCTGACATCCAGAACCAGCAGTGCTGCGTCCTCTGTCCCAGTAAAACGTTAGAATAAAAGGCACCTATCAAACCGAATCTGTCCGTGCGTTAATAAACACACAAGACTAATTTTCTTTTCTTTATTTTCATGCATTGATCCAACACAAAGCTCCACAGGTCAACAGGTCACTTCTACGCCGACGACTGTCAAATTTACTTCCCCCTAAGACACAATGGTACATGCTCTATTCAACCGCTGCTCGGCTGCCTGGCTGACATCAGGGACTGGATGGCTTTAAATTTCTTAGGTTTCAATGAAAAGAAGTCTGAAGTCATGTTGTTCCCTCCCAACGACATGATCACAAACCACTGCATCGACCTCTCCGCTCTAACCCTGTCAGAAAAACAGAGTCACTAATCTGGGAGTGATAATGGACCCTTCCCTGAAACTTAACTATCATGTAAACATGATTGTTAAATCATGTTTTTTCCAACTGAGGCGGCTGTCTAAACTGAAGCCCATATTGTCCAAAAAAAACCTGGAGACAGTAATACATGCATTCATTACATCTAGGCTTGATTACTGCAAGTCGCTCCTGTTTGGTATCAGTCAGACCTCCATTGCATGACTACAACTGGTCCAGAATGCAGCAGCCCGATTTTTAACCAGTACAGGCAAAAGAGAGCACATTACACCAGTTTTGGCCTCACTGCACT